CCTGCCAATGCCCAGTGCCTTCTGTAACGACATAAATTTCAACGGGCCGTGTGGCCAATGGAACATCCTATTAGTCTACCAGTTAATACAGATCTGGGAATGACAGAATTTGCATTTAATTTTCCTTTTACTCCAAAGGGCAGCTACTTATCCTCCAAAAGCAGCCATCACTTTAGAGGAATCCAAAAAGCATTAACTGCCAAAATGGTGAGGTGGCTCCTCTTCTTTTCTAAATGAAATTAGAAAAAATGATTAGACTCATAGACTCTTAAATTTAAAAATTTCACATTTTAGTGTACTAGATGTTTCCTGCATGGTTTGTCTCCTCAGTCATTGTCCACAGGACTCTGAGAAGCTGTAGGAATATGCAGGCGCAGACTCGAGGCCCGGCTTTCTCTCCAACGTTGTGGAAAGGGACTGTACATCACGGGGCAGAGCCCTCCGCTCCCCTGCGCCACCTGGACAGAGCCCGGGGAGAGTGACCTCCCGGGGTATCCACGTTGGGAGCCTCTGATAATCAATTACAAACAGTAGTAATTACAGTACAGCTATAGCATCACCCCTCAAAACTTCTTAGATTTTTATTACATACTAGAGGCCTGATGCACAAAATTTGTGCAAGAGTAGGCCTTCCTCCTTTGCCCACGCGTACCTCCCCCCCTAGCTTAGTCCAAGGAGGTCCGGTCTGATTAGCACATTATGCTTTTATTATTACAGATCACACTACATGCAGTTGTTGGTTTAAATTGAGAAACATCAGTAGGTTGCCTCCACATGTGCCCCCAGTTGTTGGTTTAGTATCTGTTTTTAATCAATTTCAAACAAGTCATTACTATGTACTATTTCATGATTTACTTCATCAGTTATTCCTTGTTGAAGGCGTATGCAGACAAATATGCCCAGCTTCAACTCCAGTATCATGAAAGGGGTCTGTGCATGAGACCAAACCCTATCTCCTGTGGATGGACTGTAAGGGGCAAAACCGGTAAGCCAAAAGCAATTCAGATGTACTTACCCAAATCAAGTTATTTAGAATCTTGACCGAAGGCTGCAAAACAAGGTAAAGAGCTTAATTCAGCAGTACAGTAAAGCTGGTTAAAGCAAAAAATTCACTTCTGATCAACCTATATCTAGATAGGAAGCTCTAGAGCAGCAATTGTCAACCTTTTTCACCTCATGCAGCACAAATTACTAAAACTGCAGCACACAAAAAATATGTATTTTACCGATCTGCCAAAACAGGTAGAATTTTTAAATATAGGTTTTTATCGATTTCAGGAAGAGATAGAAACATCAATGATAGAATCATGGATAGGCTGTCTCCTGCACGCACCCACCCTCCCAATTGGCCATGTGCCCTGACCCCCTGGTTCATGGGTCAATGCTCAACCCTGAGCCAGGCCAGGCCAAAGGTAGAATTTTAACTGATTCACACCAATTTGTGTTGGATGTTGATTTTAAATTTGACAATCCAAGGGAAAAGAAGTCAGTGCCCCTTGACTAAATCGGCAGGTTTTCAATTTCGTGCGGCACACCGGTTGAAAATCGCTGTTCTAGAGAGATGTTTCCTGCATGGTTTGTCTCCTCAGTCATCGTCCACAGGACTCTGAGAAGCTGTAGGAATATGCAGGCGCAGACTCGAGGCCCGGCTTTCTCTCCAACGTTGTGGAAAGGGACTGTACATCACGGGGCAGAGCCCTCCGCTCCCCTGCGCCACCTGGACAGAGCCCGGGGAGAGTGACCTCCCGGGGTATCCACGTTGGTCACGACACTTAGATTCAGACTACGGTGCTGGAAATCCCACCCAGCGACAGCGATACCTAAATCTCCCCCCTCCCCACCAAAATCGTCAAAACTCGAGTTCTAGACTGGCCAGAAGTCCTGTCAGGAACCTAAATTCACTTGCAGCCGGGCGCCGCAAACACACATCTAGAAACAATAGCCATCAGCGCGCTCCCAAAGAAACGGCAACTGCAGAGCCTTTCAGGCAGCAGTTAACCTTTCCATCTTTAAACCGATCATCTCCAGCCGTGAAATTACCCCAAATGTTACACTGGCAGCACCAAGAGCCATCGGTTTCGAAATCAGGACTCACACGCGGGAGGGGCCAGGAATAAAATGTCCTGCGTGCAACTCCCCCGAGGGCAACGCGGCTCCCGGGAGGCAGGGCAACGACTGGGCGGGGTGGCTGCGTTCTCGGCGTCCCGGCGCGCAGGGTGCA